GGGGGGAGATTCTTGGAGCCACCGCCGGTGAGGGACCAGTAGCGCCACCACAAGGAGAAAAAGGCGAGTGCCAAGAGGAGAATAACAGCATCCAGTAAGTCCATGGCTAGCTAGAAGCTGGCGATGGTAAAGTTGTGAATTAATGGCGGAGGAGGAAGGTGGAAATTGTATAGTATATAAAAAGAGAAGAGGAGGACGGCGGGTGGATGGTGCGGTAGGGGGAGTGAATGAGTTTGGTTGATCAAACAACGCAATAAATACAAAGAGCTACTTCTCAGAGTACGGCCTAAATAAACACCAAAGTAGTTGCGATATAAAATGTTGTATTCAATTTTAGTTTTACAAGCCCTCGCCGTGTCCAATTCGAAGAGTTTTTATTGCATCCGTAGATACTTGGAAGAAATTCTCGCATAATATATATCCACATGATACAACCAAAATTAGGATATAGTTGGAGATTATAAATAGGATGGGGAAGAGTTGAGTTGAGTTGGTTGAATCACGCATATGGGCAAATAGATACAACTTTGAAGGAATAGTTTGAACGGTTTTGGTAGCTTTGTGTTTTTGCATTAATTCTGCATACAAAATTGTTTGAAACATCCATTTCCGAGCAACACGGCTTTGGACTTTCGATTACCCTATTGCTATTATTGCCTACCAATCCTACCAAACCTATTTGCTTTGATTTTGCTTGCTGGAATATCTAATTATATTATAGTCACAGTTGAATATTTGATAATTCATTATTTAAGAAAAAAACTAAAATTTTACCCTTCTCTCTTTTATTGGGCATGGGAAGTCAAATATTAATCCATGAAAAATTACATTAAATCAAAAGAAGGATAGTACTTTAGAGGTCAAAAATTTAACCACTTCAAACGTAGCTCAATTAACTAAGGTGTCACTGAGGTTAAAAATTCAAGTTTCCAACCCTTCCCTCTAAAAATAAAGGTGTCATTGCATAACACCCTATCTTTCATGTTATTTATTGCCTTTCATTAATTTGCATGACCCTTCCCATGTGTCCCTCTAACTAGAAACGTTCCCACTATTAATACAGCCCAAGCAAATTTAGTCCACAAAATTGCTCCCCTTCATTCTATTTAGTTAAAACACTATAGATTTGAAACTTATAATTAAATGATGTCGTTTAGCGTATATAATTACAGTTAGATGCTTGAAATATGTTAATTTTTCTTTAGATTTGAGACTTGGTAATAATAAATGCTGGGTATTAATTGTCAAAAATCAGGAAACCTACCTGTATTAGCTGTGTATGCGAAGACCTTGTCCAGGGAAAGGAAATGTGGTCGATTAAAAAAAAATAAATAGAGAAATTTGTATATGCTGATGGTAAATAAATAAATAAAAACAAGAAGAAAATATTCAATGACATTTATCCTGTAATGTGTGAGCTCGGCCACGACCAGCTAGGAGGTGCGTTTCCAGCATTTATGAACTTAACTATACACCGAACGGTAATGCTCAACAATTGATGAAATTTTATTGAAGTAAAAAATAAATAAAAAATTTTGATGAAATTTTATTTCTTTTCTCTAAGTATATTTTTCCTTTTCAAAGGTCATCATAAAAATTTGGATTGCACGGTTTGAGATTAAAGTACATAAAAGAAAAATGGACCTACAACAATTTGTTAGGGAACACTAACAAAGAATTAATAAGACAACGCCATAACTAAAACAAATAAACAACGCAAGATAAATCATTTTAAATTGAACTGAGAGAAAACAACTAAAGTGTGGAAATATTTCTCAAATATTCTCTAATCATGGTGGGAATCTAGAGTCATCGTGCCTAAATATGGAAAATATTTGGCTCCTAGTAAAGAATAATCTTGTTTTTCCCACCATTAAATATCTAACAATTAAGAAAGAAGATTGCAACAAAAAATATTTTAAAAAATACGATGAGTTGTCCAATATTTATTTGTAGCAAGGAGAAGATTCCTCTTTACTAGTAAGGAGTGGATTGTAAAGGGATTAGAATTAAATAACGTTGGACTAACTGTTTTTTTTTCTAGTTAAGGTAATTGAAATATTCTAACTCATAGTTTTTAAAATATATATTTTTTAATTGGTTAAACTATTAAACAAAACTCCTTGAATAAATCTATATTAAAAGAAAGAAAAAAAACTTGAATAAATGAATACTTTAAAAGCGGAGACTTTTAAGCATAATCTTCAAACTGCTTTTACATTAGGAAAAAAAAAGTCTTCCAACAATACTTTTCTTTTCCTGCTAAAGTATTTTTCTTTTAAATTCTTATATCTGTCTCGATTTTTTTTTCCTTTTTCATTTGGTAATTAAATAAATGGAATATTTGGTAAATAAAAAAACCATTAAAAATTGAACAGAATAAATACTTAAAATCAATTTGAATCTTAACCGCTTATCTTTTAACAATTAAGCAGTTAATAATACAAAGCATTTTGAGGTGTCTTTTTATTTTATTTTATTTTTCATTAATATGCATTGCTTGTGAACATGTACTAACCATTATGACTGATATAGACAGCACGTGTATAAAAATTTAAGTAGCCGGAAGGTTTGCTGTTTCACTAATCTCTTTTAGTCGACTAACATGTATTTCAAATAAGAGTACGTTTGAAATAGAATTTGGATCATGTTTCTTGTTTTTAGATTCACTAATGAAGTGAATCTAATAAAAATTGTAAATAACTTTTTTCTTTTATGTTTTATGTGTTTTCAGATTTTGAACCAAAAACTTTAAAATGCATAGTATATTTAAAAATAAAAACTTTGATAAATAAACTATTTTATATTATAAACTAATTTCATTTTTATTAAAATTAAAACATATAAAATATAACATTTTATAAATTATATAATATTGTAAAATACTAATTCTTTAACATTTATAACATTTATGTTAGTAAATTAATTAATAATATTTTATATTAAACTGGTAACTAATTGACTTATCAATATATTACAAAACATTCTAAACATCCTAAATTTGTTTCTTTTTAAATTGAGATTGAATTTTCATATCTGCTAGCAAAAACATATGTAACAATCTCTTATTTTCAAATCACCAACCAAATGCATCAAAGAGTCTCACAAACCACATAAACCTCCGTAACACGTTTTCTTCTAAGGTGGAATACTTTGATTGTTGGTCTATTTTTATTAGTAAATAATTTCCACACAAATGTTTTAATGAGAGCTCGTGTGATTTAATCCTTTGAAAATTTTCAAAGATATCGGATCATTTCATATCCGCAACTTTAATTGCTGCATAATGAATGCGTTGCACCGGCTACCCAATTCATGATTACTGCAGTATCCTGATTTATTTTGTAGGGATAAAATTAGTAAAACATTGATACCCAGAAAAAATAATTAAAACATTATTTGAAATAATAATTTATTATATCGAAGACATGAAGAGGGGCATGGGCAGAGGCAGCCGGGCAGGTTGGTGAACGAGTGAAGAAAATTTATTGGCGTTTGTCTTGTGATGTGTGACCTCCGCACTGGGTGGCTGGCTGGTGCATTTAATTCCAAATTCAAAATCTATTATATTTTATATTGAAGATAAAAAACAACCGGCTTAAACATAAATCAACTAATTACATGATTGAAGAAGAAATAGAAAAGGGAAATGGGGGTGGGCCACCGACTGCGACTGGAGGGGGAGGTTCCATAATGCTTGATTTGTTTGTGACTGGGGCAGTGGCAGTCAGTTGCAGAGTGGTATGCTGTGGGTGTTTCCAAGACACAGGCCACCAAATTGCAAATTGCAAATACAACACTCTTATTATATCAATTAATGTTCAAAATATTGTTAGTATTTGTTAATTGGGGCGAGAGAAGTGTCTTGGATACTGGACAAGACTTACTTAGGAGTGTCCATTTTTTCTACCGGATCGTTTCGTCACCTAAATGGGACTGAATATGTTTTCCGTTTCCCACCCCGTCTTACATTTTTTATTTTAATAAATATAAACAAAATTATATATTATTCTCCATCCATCCAACCACCCAATATCTTAGAGAGGATAATTAAAGGTAAATAGGTTTTATAATTTCTAATTAAACAATTAATTGAAATTTCTTTTAGAAAAAAAATATTTAATTGAGAAATAAATTTAAAGTATAAAAAAGTAAATGGAAAAATGTGATGAATCACTGTTGTGCATCCCGTTACCGCACATGAACATCCCTAACTCTACTGCACAACTTGTTTGGGCCCATCCAGCTGAGCCCATTACATGTAGACTGGCTGAAAAGGCAAGTCCATCTGACTATCAATGGGCCAGTCAAAATACACGGGCACAAACTTAGGCCCAAAATCAAAACTATTTTGGACTTCATCACAAAGTGAACTGCTGCGACGTACCCAATGGTGACCATTAATCACTCCTCTCTATATATATATGGTTTTACATATATATTTCTAGTACAAGTACCACAAACCAAAGAAAGAGATATTAAACCTCTAACTTAAAAAAAATGAGCGATATCGTGGAGCTATATATTTATAGATTGGGAGTAATGGAGAAAATTGAGACGGAGAGTATCAAACATAGATATTGGTGACACAATTCTGAAATGAAACAATGAGAATAAATAATCAATTTTGTGCCTATAACTCATCCTATCTGTATGTACTATAAATTATTGGCTCTCTACTTCTCTCTCTCTATATTAACCACCACCAGCAACAACCCCTCCCTCCCCGTGGCTACAAGAACACATGCATAAGCAAAATCAGCTTCAGCAGCCTTCTTCCACTACTCCCACTCATTCAACTTCCAAATCTCCCATTAAAAGATAGAAGCCCCACATCATCATCTCACAGCTTTGCCTGCTCCAAACCATCACAAAACGAAGATTAGGCTCCTGATTTCTTTTGATGATATTTAAATTCTAAAAGATTTTAAAATAAATGGCGAGACGAGAAGGTGTACCTGGGAGTAGAGGAAGGTGCCGAGGATTGCAATGGCAGCTCCAATGGCGTTGATGGGTCGGACAGGGGTGTGGAAGATGATAATGGACGACACTATTACAAATATTCTCTTCATTGTGTTTCCTACGCTGAATGTCAATGGAGATATCTCATCAAGAGACATGTACGACACTTGATTGTACAAGTGGTAGAACATACTTTGGGCTCCCAACCACCTGCATTGCCGCAAACACAATACTCTTTTTCTCAATAGAAAAAAAAACCATTTTCTGTCGTTTTGCACTTACAAAGTTCGAATGAGATCAGATCAGATCAGATCAGACCAGACCACATGGGAGCAAACAAAATGACTCAGGATTCCCATATTTCACACAATACAATGATGATCGAAAATTGGGGACTTGGCGTATTACCATATGAAATTGGGACCAATTTGAGAGAGAGCCTTTTGAAACCCTGCAGCCCACAACTTGGGCCCCTCCACAGCAATGGCGAAAGGCGTGAGAATCAGCAGAGACAGCAAAGAAAGGCAAGCGTAGTAATTCATCCCACTCACTGACTTCCCCTTCATCCCTTTCTTTGAGAATATGTTCCGGAACACGAATGCCATATTCGATACCATCGCTCCCATGAAACCTGAAACCACAAACAAACCCCAATTTTCAACAATTAATTAATATCAAATCGAGATTCAAACTAAGCACAGGAACCCCAGCGAAAATCCCTCACCAGTCATGTTGAAATTGAGCTCGGTTGCGGCGGAAAGAGCGCAGCCCCCAATGATTGGGATGAGTGATAAGTAAACAGGCAATGGAAACGCGTCACCCAGAACAAACCTGGACACCAACACACTGAAAGCCGGCTCCCCGCTCTTTATTATGTGAGTGAATGAAACTGCCACTTTGGACATGCTCACAGTTGCCGCGACGTGCCCAATGGTATGCGCCACTGCCACCTATAAAACACAAATACCCAATAGATCATCGCATTGAAAGAATCTATTCCCATTTGTAATGCAGTTCAAATCCGGCAATTGTGTAAATTCTTCTCCTAATATTTCAATTAATGGTGAAAACAGAGCATAAACTTAATTACCGGCAATAGAGATTTCCAGAAATCGAAATCGGTTTTAGGCGGGTGGGCCATTCTGGTGGCCCAGGAAACGAGCATGATGAGCGATCCAGCAGTGAGGGAGAGGGTGGAGGTGAGCCATGGATAAGGAAACGCATTGAGAACCTTCTTGTTGTAGACATTAAAGACGACGTTCAAAGCCCACCAAGTGGCGAAATAGAGGCCGATTTTGAGTTTCTGAGCGGCGCGTTCATCGGGAAGCTCGATGTTAATGTGAAGAGGGCGGGAGTCGGCCTCAAATGCCCTGCACTCAGTGGAACGCGGCGAAGAAAGATTCTCAACGGACGAGATGTAAAGCGGTTTCCCGGTGGAAAGAGAGCGATCGAGAAATTGATGGTTTAGGGCACTGCGATTGAGGGATTGCTGAGGAAGTTGCGGCCTGGGAAGCGGGGATTTTCGGTTGAAAAGTTCAGAGGAAGTGAAATTGGGAGTGGTGAGGCGTAGTGAAGAGATCATGGTGTATTGAAGAATATGAAAATGGGATCTGCAGAAATTGAAAGCAGTTCGTAAATGGTGAAGGGGAGGAGGAGAATTCGGTTGGAGAATGGAGACGGAGAGAGGACGTTGGATCTTGGGTGGGGAACTGGACTGGGGGAGAAGGGCGGCTTTATAGTTTGATTAGGAAGAGGAAGAATTTTGGGATTTTGAAATTTTCAGAGGGGCAGTTTCGACCATGTCGGCAATTTTGGTGGTGCCATCGGTGACTTGAATTTTGATTAGTCTCCTCATGACGGACCGCTCATAATTCTTTTTCCTTTAATTTTAATATTTTTTAGAAATGTTTAATTTCGAATTTATAGAAATACTTCTCCTTGAAAAACAATCTTGTCATTTTCCTGGAATTATTGGCCTTTACCATAATAATATCTATGCTCGGTTACACTCTAATTGATAAATACATTTTAAATATTAAATTTTATTAGTATTTTAAAAAATTATATAAATCATATAAAAATCTTGACTCCATGACATAAATTTATTAGGTATTTTCAAAATGTCGTATTTTTTTCATTTCAAATATAGTATAAATTTGATTTTTTTGTTGAGTGAATTTTACATTTAAGTTTGATTTTAATTGAGATAATATTATTTTAAAAATTTTAAACTTTATACCATATTTAAAAATACATATTTATTTTATACTATTTATGTAAATATCTCTACAAATTATAATTACCATTTTTAATTTGTATGATTTGTGGTTGGTTTTAATTTAGAATTTAACTTCTATAATTTGATTAAATTTCTAGAAATGTCCATCCTATTTACTAATAGGTATAGTTTTCATATGTTGATGTTTTCTTTAGATTTTAATTTTTTGCCTTTCTATGCCACATACAATACAAACATGTTGAATGTTTAGAAGATATATAATTTATAAGACAACTGTCAATTTTTTGAAATGTCCAAAATATTTTGAGAAATTTAATAGAATACCGTAAATATTATATGGGAAATTTTAAGACAGTAAAGCAAAAAAAGAACAAACATGTGGGTCTGTTTGATAAACCATGACGATTGATGAATTGTTTGAAGATCAACTATTTTACCCACATATTTAGGAGTCAAAACTGTTCTTCTCACAAACTAGCAAGAATCTCCATGCTCCTCCCATCTAGTTTAATATGGAAGAGTTACGTTGAGTTTTTAATTGTCTTAACCGGCTTTTCTTTTGAATTGCGGAAGATGTACTTGTTTTTCGATCTTAATATATCTTATTTTTTAAAAGAAAACCAAAACAAATACAGATTAAACCAAAATTTTCATTGTAAAATATCAATTTTAATATAAATTTGTTAAGAATAAAGAAGTTAAAAATAAAATTAAAATGAAAAGAAACCTGTAAATCATAACGGATGGCCAAGACCGTGAAAGTCCAATATGGTCGGCACTTGGCAGCTAGCTTAGCTTGGATTTGAATCGTTTGATAGGGCACATATTTATGTACAAGCTGTGGCGTTTGGTGTGGTGGAAGAGACCAATATGGTTTAGAAGTTGGGGTTGGAATTGGAATTGGCCACTCTTCAATTCATCAAAACCCATTTTATTCAGAAGAAAAACGATATAAAAACAAGTTGCACTGCATGCCAATTGCCAACATGTTTCCAAATTTGACCCTCACCAACTTTCATTTTTCTACGCACGCCAACTCTCTGATGGATATTTCCTTTTCCCGGGCCCAAAATATTTTCTCTGAGAAAAGAAAATATTATGATACCAAAAAAAAAAAAAAATTCAGGAAAAGAAAAAAGGGGCTGAACTTTTTTTAATTCTCTCCCCACACCACTATAGAGAAGCCAAATATTAAGAGAAAGGCACCCACATGGCATCAAGCTGGGTTGGTGATTCTTGACCGCAAGTTCCTAAAGGTGGGATTCCAATTTCCAATTATGGATGATACAAAAACGACAGCTTTTTGGGTGCAACAATCGAAGAGAGACTGAGCAAAATCCCACGACAGACGCTGAGGCGTGAGAATTGAGAAGCTCATGAATGATGATGGAGAGGAGGGCCTGCGTTTTCCCTTTGTAAAATGACTGAACTCGCTACATTGCTCAAAAATCTATTCTAGATTTGACATTTCGAGGCTTAAAGATTGTCGAAATTCCGATCCTTAGGATTTAGGGATAAATAATTGACGGCTGGTGGGTTTGGTACATTTTTAGGTGGGGCAGAAGCTACATTCAACGGCCCAACGTTGGTGTGTCCCCCCATCTCAAATTAACGGGTCGCGTTTTTTCAATTTTTTTTTTTAATTCTTTAGAGAAATTGTGGTTGGTGACGGTTTTTATTTACTTTGCAAAATTAAATAAACGAAATATGTCTATTTCTAAAAAAATATTTACCAAAAGAAACAAAAAAGTAGAACATTTTTTAAACTTTCATGTCAATGGGTATTTTCATGACTTGATTGATTTTGATAATATGGTAATTATTTAGGGTATTAGACTTTTCGTTAACATATAACTTTAACATTGTTGTAAGAAGTGAATAGAAAATTTTATAATATTACAAAAAATTGACAAAGTCTAAGAAAATATCAACCATTATCACTAATGAAGATATAATATTAATAATTGTTGATGCTTATTATTTCGGGACTGGTGTCACAAGAGTGCTACAAACGTCCTTGTCTCCTAGTTTAAGGTTAACATGCACATCGAAATCTAGTACTGTTGTTGTAATGCCTAAGTTAAAACTTAAAAGGGAGCAAACGTGTATGAAGCAAGTAGAATAATTAGGAAGCAACGTCTTAATGAGAGTGTGCGTGTCAGGGGATATCTAGCACTATTGTTGTAATGGCTTGAGAGTGTGCGTGTGCCAAGTTCTCACGAGAAGTTAGTGTAGGGAATTTCAACTTACCTCCTCCAGAGTTTCATAAAGCTTCTTGTATATTGATAGAGCTAGACACAAAGGGTGGAGTGCTGTGTCAGCGGATCATTAGGGCCACCRAAATTCTTCTTCTCTTCGTGCACTTCTAATAGAGGCACAGGACGTCCTGGCACAAGCCATGTGAAGCGTTTTGGGATTCGGGTGCAGGGTATCAGCACTTTGACCACTTGTTGTCTCTCGTACAGGTTGCCAAGGTGCGCTCATATTTAGGATTATTGCGCTCATTTTTCATTAACATGGTCTATGTGACTTGATATGAGATTTGACACATGTTGCCGCAGATTTACCCGATAACAATAATAATAATTTTAAACTTATTTGAAAGAGGAGAAATAGTTACTTATTAATTAATTTTTTCAATATTTTTATTATTTTTTTTCTAAAATATCTATTAATATAAACACGTCAATATTTTAATTAACGTTTCCATTAAATTGAGATCTCAATAATCTCATGGAGATTCACATTAAACATAATTCTCAAATAACACATAGATAGTGTGCCAACTATTATCACAAGTTGGCTCTCATTGGTTTAAAGCGACCAACATAAATGAAAGGATTTAGAAGGAATTGATTCAAATTTCATGATGGTCACTTACCTTTTATTTATTAAATTTATGAACATTATTTATACTATTTATTTGTTTTGTTATCTCTTTTTTTTTGTTAAGACATTTCAAAATCAAATCCAAAATTAATAAAATAATAACTTTAAAAAAAATAGTTAATATATTTACTAATCTAACATCTTGTTAAAATGGTCTATTGAACAAATTTGGGACGAAACGACTATTTAAGTGAAGTTGTCAATCAAATCATAGTTCAACGGGTTAAAACATCTATATCCAACAAAAAAGTAGTAGGTTCCAATCTCTACCCATATGATTTAATAAAATCAAACCATTTAAGTGAAGCAAATTTATAAATACCTTGGAAGTTCTCGGTCAATTAAGATGGGTTAATAAAGCTAAAAGTTTACAATATTGTCTCTAAATATTATTCACCAACCTTCCTAATCATATATCTAAAACACCTACATAATCCAACTTTAAGTTTAAAAGAAAATTTTCTTATTCTAATAGAGGTTTTAGTAGAGTCAATGCCCGAACCTCCTCTTATCTGTCAGTTCTCTCTCGTGGGATTTTTTCTAACAACTTTCCCGCGGGGCAGGGGAAATTGAACTTAATGCGCTTTCTCAAGGTGCGTTCTTGACTTCTCAACTCCTCCTTCTCCTCTGCTACTGGAAAAAAAAAGGAAAACAGATTAAATAAAGAATGCGAGACGATATGTTAAAAATGTAGGTTTTTGAATCTGGGTAATCAATTACCGGTAGTTAACTAATTAATTAAGGGGTTGTTTTAATTATGGGTTTTCACGCATCACAGCGGCGCGGATCCTCTCGACTGTGCACTTAATTAGGCTGTTAACGGTGGCGACCGATCCAATGGAAAGTCTA